CCGCCCTCCGACAACACCTGGCGGTCACCCAGAAGCTATACCAAGCCTTGCAGCAGCACAGGGAGGATGCGGCGACAAAAAGTCAGGCGGATGCCGAACTAATACGGGCAAAGATCGAGTCGGAATTGCAGGAGGAGCGGAGACAGAACCAAGTCCTAGCAGCCGAGCTTGCGCGCCAGACGCGCGCCTTAGAAGAAAGTCAAAGAGCCCGCAAGGAGGATGAGGAGTTGTTGTGCAACTTGCAATCCGAGTACTCGGATTTGAGGGCACAACGTGCGGGATTAGAAATGCAGCTGGCAGAGGTGGAGAGCAGCTGCAGGGCGCGAGGAGAGTTGGCGGCACAGGTGACTCGTTGTCTAAAAGGATACGCCCATTGGGAGGTGGCAGCTCAAGAGAGGATTACACTAAGGGAGTTCGAGCTTCGGGCGGCGGCATTGACGGAGGGTGACAGTCGAAGTAGGCGGCGAGTGGCGAGAAAATTAGAAACCTTCTTGTCGGGTGCGCGCGACACTATGGCGCACTTGCAGTCGGAAGTCACCACAGCGCTCCGACGCCTGGGGTTACGCAGCCGGTCGGAAGACTGGCAAGGTAGAGACAGTAAGCGGAGCAGTCCGGCGCGCAGGAGGCGCAGCACCGGATCTGCTGAGTGCAGTAGAGTAGTTTGGTTTCGCGCAGATGCTGCGAGTGGTAGATAGGATAGCGTAGTGCTAGTTAGGATCTTTTGAGAGTATAAAGTAGATCAAGGCGTTTTGCCTTGGGACTCTTCCAGTTTCGGAAGTGCAGATCAGGAACTCACTTTCTTAGCGTGTTTGTGCATTTTGGTCCTGGCACCACGTAGAGAAGCTGCAGCATAGCGAAGTTACCGTATGTTGTAGTTGAAGGCCTTCGGCCGAATGTTCAGAGCTAGCACCCGGTTAGAGACTTGAGTAGTGCGGATCTGCACCTGCGGGTGATTTCTGATGCTCAGAGCCGGCTGCGAGTTAGATACTTGAACAGTTCCCCCTTACTCCTTCGAGTGACATATCCTGATTGTACTCCTACGGGAAGTTTCCCCTGAATGCCAATGTGAAGTTTCATTACTTCGTGTAAACCTTGGTTTGTAATTCAGGTTGTGTGTGTGTTACTGGATCGTGTTTTCAGTAAGTTCTCAGTCGGGTCTGCACTCCCTGCGTTTGGTGTGATAGTCGAGGGTGACGTCCACGGCGTATGTAGAGGCTTCGTTCCGAAGTGGGAAGTCCAGTCCGGGTACCCCCGCTAGTTCCTGGCGGAAGGGCAGTAAAAGCCGGAGTGGGAGGCACTACCTGCAGAACCTCTGAGTGAACTTGCGAGACACTTTCCTCCTGAAATCCGAAGCGGAGGTCCTGACCGACCTCCGAGTTGTGCTTTTTGCCAGTTTCAGGTGTGTGTGTGTGTGTGTGTGTGTTGAGTGACCACGCTGTACCGTGCATCCTCCGAGCATCCTCCGAGTCGAGATCCTCCTCCGAGTCGAGCACTGCAGTATTTCTGGGAGTGACAGTCGCCTAGAATTCAAACTCTACAAAAGTCTGTTAAACGTGACACTTTTACTCTGTGTGTTGCCTCTGTCCCTGTGGATTCGATCTTTTTACCACCATACTGCAGTTTTAGCCTTTGGTGGGTTATTACACATCCATTCGTTCCCTGTCTCCTAGTCTCAAAGAGAGGCCCGTAAGAGAATTCCTCGCCGCGCGTAAGTCCTACGCTATTCTTGTCAAACAGAAGGTCTTCGTCGCTACTCGCACACGGTTCCATTACTTTCGTCCAATGCTTGATGTTCCACAGCATGGGATTACCGCGGAGCTCCTCGCCTTTGGTCGCGCTATTGTCCAGAACTTCCTTGCAGATACTCGTTGAGATGCAATTCCAATTCCACAGAAGTAATTCAAGCCGCAGCTCCCTCAACTCGTGTCTGAAGGGTCTCAATTCCTCATAAGGCATCTTCAAGGGGACCAATTTCCTCACCTTCTCACTCTTCTTGGGCGCCATGTATTCAATTGGCGTTTCGCTAATCGCGGGTTGGCTCGATTGCAATTCCTCTCGCTCTCGATCGTTCTTGCTTGATATCGCAATGTCGGCGCGCAGTCTCCTCCTACTGCCTTTACCCTTGAAGCCCTAACATTGCCTTCTCCTACGCCTCGTAGAACTCTCGACGCGTGCAAACCTCGTCCGGCCCGTTGCATGATTTGAAATTGATTCCGATGTCCTCGCCGAAGACGCAGCTCTTCGTGCGTCGTAAAAAGACTACGCCGAAGACACGAAGATCCGAAGATCTTCGGATGTAGACGTATTCTAGCTAATCCTATCATAACTCCTATAAATCTACTCTTTCCAACTCATATAACTATCTTCTACACATATGTTTATGTTTTTTTGTTAATTTTTAAAGAAAAACAAAAAAGTAGGCCCCACACTTTGCAAAACGGCCGCTAGTTCCAACTCCAAGTTCAACACCGCGTCGCACGAACTTGTAAGAAACGCGTCCAACTTCTTGGCTAACCGGCGCTGCTCACTAACACTACTCGCTATCATTGCCGTCACACGTCATTCAAGATCTCAAAACTGCAACCATTTATGCGTCTCGACCTGCCATAATACAAACCTTCGTAGGCATCGGTTCATTCTCACGGTCAAGGCGTCATTCGTTTACTTTCATAACTGCCGGTTCTTCTCTTATGTGTAACAATCTTTAATTAGTTAAAACTAAAGTAGAGGTTACTGTAAATATTGATATAGATACTTTAGTGTGCACTAGTCATAGCTGCCAAGTCAGCGATCTGCGCACTTGGTAGGTACAGAGTGGATGTGTTAGTTGACAGTGCCACATGAGCAATCCGTGTGCTTGTAGGTAAGGATTGAGTGTGTTAGTTAGTGTGTTAATTGGAATCGCCACGTCAGCGATCCGTGTGCTTGTTAGGGTTATCCGCCACGTCATCCATCCACTAGGAGTGGGATGGATGGTGGGGATAAGATCTTATCTCCTTGTACTTGTTGGTGAGAGCTATATAAGGGAGAGAAGAACCATTGTTGGTATCTCTCATCTTCGAGGTTTACGTTTCTATCTTCAAGTGAGCTTCTCTCTATACCCTAGTGTTACATTCTGCCTCCAACAATTTTGTCTCCATCTTGCATAACTGCTCCTTGACTTGCATCCGTTGTGACCTCAACTTAGTGCATTGAGTCTCTAGCTTCTCTATCAATTCCAAGTCCGAGATCCTAGCAGCTTCACACTCTTCTAGATCCTTCATCTTCGCTGCGAGCTCGGTTGCATGCTCATGTTACTTCTTCTCCGATGCTACCGTCAGTTCGTCCATCCTCAGCAATTGACCGTTATAGGCGGTCCAAGATGCCTCCAGCCTACTCCGGAGATCCACTGTCGCACACTTGGCCTTCTCAATATCCTCGCAGAGATCCTCAAAGGTCTTCTCTAAATACCTCCATTTCTCGACTTCCTCGGCCAGTCTCTTCCGAAGTACCTCGTACTTTGCCTTCGTCGCCTAGTTCTGCCGTTCCTTCGCTGCAGATGCGGAAGTCGCTACCACCTTTGCATGCATCCTTTCACCCACTAGCTCCACGTAAGATCCGTTGGTGGTAGCTCCTGCATACTTTCCCCGCTTGCGGTGGAGGTACTGGAGTAACAGAAGCACTTGTTCACACAGAACTTTGGCGGCACTTAGTACTTGCGACTAAGCCTCTTCCGCCGAAGGCTCTTCATCCGACTTGTCATGTAGTTTTTGGTGTTTTGCTTAAAATAGTGTCTAGCTTAGGGTTTGAATTGCGAAGGGTATACAGTCGGGGACGGCTCGAAGAACGTAAGTTCTTCGAATCAAGCCTAGCACGTTGAAAGTAGTGCCCGGGAGCATCGACCTGCAATCTCCGAGTGTGAAGTGGGTTTGGCTTGACTATGTTTGTGACGGGGACAGTTTTGCCAGTAGGATAAACCACCGACGGGAATTCAAGTGGAGAATCTCCCGTTTATTTCACTCGAAGAACTCAGTGTGCACGAAATTGTCGGTGGGTTGTGATTAGCTTTTGGCTGGAGTGGTTTTCGTGTGTTTCATTTTTTGTGGTTGAGTTTCAATATTTTAAATTTGATCGAATAGAGGAATCACTGTAAGAGAGCTCGAAGAATCAACTCAATTTCTGATGTCGGAGCTTGCGCGGGTGGGGTTGGTAACATCGCTGTTACGAGTGGAGTCTGCGTGGAGGTGAGGTGCGACAGACTGCAGCAGTATTGTTCATCATGTCGGAGATGTCATATCATGGAGATTCAGGAAAGCAATGATATTCTTATTCTGTGTTGATTTCGCAAGTAATTTAGAAGCTTCTCCTCTCGAAGCTTCCATCTTCTTAGTGTTGGAAAGATTTGCAAAAGTTTGAGGGAAAATTAGTAGCCGACGACGGAAAAACGAAGCCAGTGAATCTGCGGGCTGCAGATTGTGTTCCGGCAAGAGAGAGAGAAGGAAGGGCTTGAGAGCGTGACCTTGAGAATGTGAGGGCAATGCGACGAGACTTTACAGGTTTCTGAGCGTTAATCGCCTGAGAATTATCTCTATGCGTTAATTGCACCTATGCAAGTCGGGATGTTACAACTATGGATTATTTTACTCTGATTCCGAATATGGTGCCTGTGAAATTGAAACAAATTTCAAATGGAGTAATAGTTCTGGTTCCAACGAAACGAGGTTTATGTGACTTGGTAGGAGAAATCAGTGTAGTAATTTCACCCGTAGTACTTTCGGATCATTTGAACTGTCAAATTTGATTCACGATTCAAACACATATGAGACGATTCTACTTCCTGCTTGTGTAGACTCAAAGGTGATATCTAATCTCAAAGTGAAAGAAGAAGGGGTCGAATATAGGAATTTTGCTTGGGGACAGGAGTACAACTGACCTTGAATATTGCTCAGCGTAAAGCTGAGCGCAGATTTGGTAGCGGCCGTCAGCAGCAGATTTCAGAGAGAAGTAGACAAGTCATCAGCGGAGAGAGCAGCGGGGCCTGACGTAGTATTATCAGCAATTCGGGAAGTACAGCAGATTAATTAATAGAAACATATTAAAGTTGATCTGATTTGCCGAAGGCAAAGAAATCTGTCTACAGCATGCGACAGATTGTTGCGCATGCCGTAGTTGGTCTAGTGGAGTAGAGTACTGTAATGCGTTGGAGAAAGGAGGTCATGCAAAGCTGGCCTGTCCAATTTGAGAGATCACTGCACCTGATTTGGTGAGTATGCTAATTGACCGTGAAGCTCGCTATCTGAAGTTGTCGCATGAGGAGGAGAAGCTCATCAACCTGTATGCTTCTATACCCGTGGAAGCAAAATCATCTGAACCAGAACTCGACATTAGGGGCAGCTTGGAAAACTAAATTGAGTTGTACCTCCTGATCATAGTTTGGATGCATGAGCGGGCCTCATCTCTTGCCACGAAGTGTTGCAAATTGTATACATTTTCAGGTACAAAGTGGAGTATAGATCTAAGTGTTCCAACAAAAAGCGAAGAAATGATACAGGGTTTTGGCAGCGGAGGAAAGAAGGTTGCTGCTGCTCTAATCACGTCCTCTTCTCCAAAACGGAGAATCAAAAATACTGATGTATGTATGGTGTCCCCTAGTCGAGTACGTGTTTTACCTATTGAAGCGGAGAACTCAGTTTCGGATGAAGATCTTTGTCAGAATCTCCATCTTACTTTTTCGTCGATGGACTCATCATTGACTGATTTGAAGGAGCAAAAATGTTTGGAGTTCAAAAATACAGCAGATAGGGAGTGTGAGTTTGAGAGTTTCGGCGTGAGAGGAGAAATGTTGTGGACCTTGTTGAGACCTTTAGCGCACAAAGTTGGAATTGTTTCCGTTCTGAGATGAGTGAAGGATATGTTCGTAAAGACAAATACTGAGGTTAGAACTGTTATGATGGGATATGTAGATGATCAGATTAATGTAAATGATCTGATGTTTTCTCTTTCATAGTGACGTAAATGAAGACCTAGTAAAATCCTCTACAGAATTGTATGCCTTCTTTTCTTTGTAGAAAATTTATAAAGTGGGTTCAGAAACAGGTTCTCTTTGGGACAAAAAATAACAAAAAATGTTCATTTTGATTTATGTCAGTTAGTTATTCTCACTTCGGTCTTCCTGCCACTTGCATCTGTGTAAAGAACTGTTAGTATACTGATCAGCCAGCTCTACCTACACCTTCTAGTTTTCAAAACAAAGAATGTATAGATAGATATCTATACATTCTTACTGTATACAGAGAAATATTGGATACTGATTGTATACTGTATACTCAGAAATACAGTATACTGGTACCAATTGTTAAGGTGTCGAGTTGGTGTGACTGTCCGAGCACAACATTTCAGGTTTAAAAAAAAAAAAAACTGAAATTTCAGCTTGGAAAAAAAAAAGAAAAAAAAAAGACTGAAGAGACTGGAGTTTGCATCTAGTCTCACTTCTTTTAGTTTGAAGGTACGGTGTTGCATTTATCATTTTTGTACAACTTGATCACAAAATGTTGTGATTTTTGATGATTAGGCAATTAGCGTACTTAGTGATTTGTTAGTGATTTCCTTATGAAATCATAGTCAGATAACCTACTAGTTGAATAGTAAAGTTGTTTCCCTACGGGAATTGCAGATGTTTTTCCAACGTCCAATTGGTGACGGATTCGTGACCAACCTACGAATGGGAACGTGAGAGCAAGGAGAAAGCTAGCAGGCGAGCTACCATTTGTACGTGATAAGTTTTTGGTGATAGGAGGGCGATGGAGATCAAATCGGGATCGCGAAGCGATGCAATGTCCCGTGTGTGTTGTCTTGTTCTGTGCTACGTTTCCTTTAGACTTAAGAGTCGTTGCTAGCTGTTTGCTTGTGTTTGGATACTCTCCAGTCTTGCTTCTTGGTGCGCGCCTGTGTAGGAGTGATGCTGATTTCCGGAGTAGTTTTACTCCTGTGTGCTGTCGATAGGGGGCAGGACTTGATCACCGGCCGGCCTATCTATGTTTCTCTCACGGTGAGACTGGAGTGATGACCAGTAGAACGTGAAAGTTTTCTTGCTGTGATGACAGATTAGGTTGCACATACCTCTTAGTTAGTAGGGCTAGAGTAGCTCAGTGCGGCACGACGTTAGGTGCACATAGGGTTATTGGGTGGAGATCTGGCGGTGGTGCCAGTTGAGGTTTCGTCATCACGGATCAGTCTAATGGTCCTGTTGAGGACCGCGGTGGATTTACGCGGAGTGGGCTGAGGTATCGGCTACCTTCACCTATTTCGCCAGTTGTTGCGAAGGAGGACCAGAATGCTGCAGACACAAAGTCTTTGGTGGTGATATCGTCCACTATTCCAACCCCATTAATTTGGGACATGGACGTTACTGTGGTGCTGTGAGCACCATCGAGCTCCATGATTTTATTCAGGAGTTCGACACGTGGTGTGATATGCAGTTTCTGCGTAACCCCACGTTGTTTACACCCTTCTTTGCATGGAAAGGGTTATTTCAGCCTTTGGAGGGGCCTCCCATGGATGATTATCATGAGTTTGGGAGAGATTATGCTGCGGAGATTGATGCATGGAGGCGCCATTGGTCTCCGAACTACTTATCCACTACCCAGGGTGGGGTGGGTACCAGTGGTGGTGCGAGTATCAACATCAGTGGGGGTGCGAGTAGTAGCATCAGCGAGGGTACCAGTGGAGCAGTTGGCGCAACCAGTATTAGCAACGGTACTGTTAGCATTGCTGGTGGCAGCACGAGGGGAGATGCTAGTGGCGTACCTTTGTTTAGCCCCATTCTTGAGTTCTTCCAGAGATTGAGGAAGAATTATCAGGAGGTGAAGACAGAGAAGTTGAGGAGCCTCCAAGAGTTTGAGCGGATGACTGGTGAGAGTCTTCGTGAGGCATACACTCGTATGCGACGGCTAATCTCGGTTACTCACGGTGTGACTTAGGCACAAGCTGTCCAGTAGTGGTATCGGATTATGGACAAAGAGTTGCGGAGGAGAGTGCGTGATGCTACTCTCATGAGCGACTCATCACCCACATTAGCCCATGTGTTTGCTCTTTCTGAGAAGATTGAGCTTAACATGGTGGAGGAGAGGGTGGTGACGTCTACATTTGCGAGGGACACAACCACTACTTCGCGTATCCCACATAGCACAGCATAGTCTTGCCCCATGGGTGGTGGTAGTGGGAGTCGTGGAGGTCATACACGACATCCTTCAGGTCATAGAAAGCCTAGTGCGCGGCCACCACTGCTTTCATTTTTGGGCCAGCCACAGGGACCGTCATGTTGGAATTGCGTAGGTAGTCATATAGGGAAGGATTGTCCCCATGAAAGAGAAAGACAAACTCCACAAGCTAGCCCACATCCGGCAAAAGTGACCTGTGATCATTGTCATCGACCGGGTCATCCTCGAGAGCGTTGTTTTGACCTTCATCCTGAGCTGAGATCTAGAGGTAGAGATCGTGGTGGTGATGCTCCACGAGGCCAAGGTGGTCGAGTGGCAGAGGCGGTAGAGGTACCGGTGCCATTGAGCGTACCGCAACGAGTGCTACTTCCACCACAGAGAGCGCTATGGCTGCACGGATTGAGCAGTTGGAGCAGAGGCTTGCTGCTATGGCTGGTATGGGGGCGAGCACTTCCACATCTTATGAGGAAGAGGATTTCTCCTATTTGGCCGGTGCAGCACAGGTTGAGGCATCAGTTGCAGTGACCAGAGGTGGTGCTCACACTTCAGAGCCACGTAGTGCGACTGTGGAGTTGGACCCTCAAAGGGGTGACGGTGGACGTCAGTCTATACTTCCCCAGTCCTTTTTGTTGTCAAAGGTGGGTAGCAGTTCATCTATGAGACCTGCACCGCCTAGTGACACTAGAGTGAGAACTGAGGTTCTTACATCATCTGTTGTGGACGCAGACTTGCCATCTAATGCAGTGATGCGGATGGCCACTTCAGTCTTGCGATCTCCATTGTTTTCAGCCACAGAGTTGATGAACTCTGGTATTGATTTGGCTCGAGTATTTTGGGTAGCAGCCACGTCGTGTGAGCGTGGGAGAGTCGCTGCTACGAGTGCCGAGATACGTGAGGATACAGTTGAGGACCCATCCTCAACGTCTACATTGTTCGAGGAGACGACTTGGCAGGCGGCAGCGGCGAGAATGGAGTTCTTACTAGCTTGCCCAGCCATTGATCGCGAGAGTATTGTCCCTGGTGTATGTATGGTGGACAACCGAAGTGGTCTATTTTGGTTAATGAGTTCTACTTGACAGGTGTATGTCCCAGCTAGAGTTTTGTTGGATTCTGGTGCACAGCCCTTGATGTTGAGCAAGGCTGCATGCATTAGTTTGGGTATTCGGAGGTGAGATTGGAACCTTGCTCATTCCAGATCCAGACATTCCTTGGTGGTGCCAGCGATAGGTCTTACTTTATGACTCGGGAGAACATAGCGGTGCAATTGAGGCATAATCACCCTCATGATAGCTCGCAGTTTGGAGTTCGTGCGGTGGTTACATCGGCAGAGTCATATGATGTGCTTGTTGGTGGAGCTATGTTATATCCGATGGATTTTTGGATGGGCTATTGGACGGAGACTGATGCCTATCGTCCTGGTTGGCAATCTGGCGATGGACATCTCAGCGAGCTGCCAGTGAGATTTATTGCTCGAGATCGACCTCTTGGATCTTCATCTGCGGTCTTAGCATCTGTTGCGGGTTACAGCGGAGTGCTTACCTGGCCTGATGACTAGTTAGAGGGAAACATGTCCGCCGACGATACCTCAGTCTACGAGGATATGAAGGAGTTTGTGAGTTTCACAGCGGCGGTGACTTCACCCTTAGATGTTCTACTATGGAGTTCTTGTCAGGCACCCCAGTTGGAGAATGATAGGTTGGTGAAGAAGGCTGGGAGTGAAGACTCTTTAGCAGCAGAGCCAGAGAGGGCTTCAGCTGATCGGCTAGTTGGTGGTTCTAGCGCATTGTCTCCATTGGTTACTTCACCTATTGCATGGGAGTATTCCTCAGAGGGCGTTTGTTTGCTGGATCTTTTTGGTGGGATCAGCACAGGTTTGGCTGTGGTGTTGCAGTCAGGTGTTCTCATACGGAGATACTTGTATGTGGAGAAGAACGAGACTACGCGTTGAGTCTCTTCGTGGGTTTGGCGGAGCAACGCCGTTTGCGCGTTGATTTAGTGGTTAGTACACCACTTGTTAGCTCATTGCCTACCGGGACGGTAGTGGCAATGGTTGGGGGCGACAAGCGAGATATTCGTCATCCTTGGAGTTCATGGGACGTGACGAGAGGACTTGCTAGAGTTGCAGCCCATGCTGTTGAAGAGGATTCTCATGTGGAGGTGGCTACGAAGGAAGGTATGGAGAACACTTCTTTGCAGGATGTAGCGTAGCAACTATTGACAATGTCGCCTCCCTCTAGTGTGTCTATGGAGGAGGAATGGGAGCCATTGATTGGTTCTCAAATCACAAGAGAAGAGAGGCGACGATTGACACAATTCCTACGAGACTATAGGAGTTGTTTTGCCTTTAGTATGAAGGAGTTGGGTGCATTGATTGGACCCGGTATACGGATAGAATTGGCTAGTGATACGCCAATCTTCCATCGTCCTTATCGATACAGTGAGATGGAGAGGGATTTGATTCGAAGTAGGACGTTGGACCTACTTGAGGCTGGACTAGTGGAGTTATCACATGGTGAGTATGCGTCAGCCATTGTCATGCCGGTGAAGAAGGATGTACATGGCAACTACACGGATAGGCGCATGTGTGGAGACTACCGTCCAATCAATCGGCAGACAAAGTCCGATAAGTATGCCATGCCTACACATGAGGAGATCTTCGATGTGGTGGGACATGCGAGGATTTTTAGTACTTTGGATCTTCGAGCAGGATACCATCAGTTGCCAATTCAGAAGGAGTACAAGACCAAGACAGTGTTTTGGGGCGTCAACTCCCATGGCAAGGATTGTTTGTATTAGTGGCGATTCTTACCCTTTGGGTTGAAGAATGCACCTGCCGAGTTTCAAAGGGTTATGGACAGAATACTAGCGGGGTTGGATTTTGTCAGATG